GGGTGAACAATATCTTGTTGATGCAAGGTCTTCTTTTCGAAGTCAATTAAAGCATAAAATATCGCATAAATTGACCTCTTTCTGCAAAATGATTCACTTTTTATTTAAGGCTCCTGCTTAATAATATAGAATGGGCTCACTCCTTTCTATTTAAAACTACACAGTCGAGGTGCTGTACTACTGATTTATGTGCCAGTAGGCTGCCTTAAGGAAAGCCTATTGAGTTTGAAGTGTCGTGTTTGTCTTTTGAAGTTGGAGCAGTTCGAAGAGAAACCAAATGGCAGTCACTAAATTTAGAAGATTCTCATTTTTCAAGTGATTAGGCATTATTAATAGCTTCTAAGGAGTGTTCGTGCCAGGTTGGATCACTTTTCCATCTTTCCATTTCTGCCTTTTAAATTCTCCAAGGTGAAAACCTATTTAAAACCAGATTTTGCAGTTAAAGCATCCCTGAATAACCATCAAGGCTACTTTTAAAACTCGTTGGGTGACTGTTTGGCAGCTGATAGTACGAAGATTGACAGATAATTATAAGTTCTCCTATGTAATTTAAACCAGCAAACAACAAAATACTCTTTTAAGTATATCTTAGCATCGGAATTTCTGGGAAAGAGAAGGAGCAAAGGATGGGTTTTGCTTGGCAATGAGAGAGCTGCGGAATCGGTTCTTTGTGAGGTAGGCAGCGGAAGCAGAACTCTTTTCCATTCCCTTACATCACCGGGAGCGGAACCGTTGGAAACGTCGCAGCATGGAATTCTCCACCGAACAGGGGATGAAGGAAGCCACTCCTGCTCCATTTACCTACCCCATAACTCTCTAGCTCCAACAGTCAGAAGCGGCAGTAATCAGTAAAAATTGTTTCACGCTACGGAAGACCTAACAAAAGAGACGTCTGAAAAACTCAGCTAGCAAGCCTCTGGACACGGGAGGTGGTTATCAACGACTGATTTCGCTGGTAATTTTTCCGAGACTTTTAGATAAGGGGAGTAGCACAGAACTTCTGAAAGTAGGCCTAACATGATATTATAAACATTAGAAAAGATTTCAAAGGGACACTATCGACCAGTAGTATGAAACATTGAAAGAGATTCCTGTTTTTGTCAACTGTCATGAAGTGCGATTAGTTGGAATCCTTGATGTAAACAGTACATCATTGATAAAGACGTTTAAGTGGGTTTAGTATGCAAAACGGTTTCCCTAATACCAAAGACAAAACCAGTTTTGATTTTTATTAGCTCTATTAAGGCAGTGGATGGTGATTGATATTACCAGGCACTGAAGCTGTCACTAGGGTATTTCAAATGGCTAGAACCTTCTTGCCTCATTCAGAACGTTTATTGCACATTTAACCACATTTTTGAAAGAAGACAAGTTTCATCTCCCAAAAGCGAAAATGAATCGCCTTGGTTTTTTTGCAACACTTGCATGTTTGAGAGGCTGTGAGAGGCTACAACCTCGTCCAGTCAGTATTCTTCGAAGTTCATGGTGGAAGAGACCGGCAACAAGCATATCACAGGGTTTGCCCGTATTTTCACCGCTTTCTTCCTATCTCTAAAGTGGCATTAGAAAGGCGTAGTTTAGAGACATTTTCACTGTTATTTTAGGATGAAATCTCAGACATTCGAGGCTAAATTAAGAGGCGACCAGCTTCAACAATTAGTCGTGAAGTTTATTACATTTGAGTACTGGCTCTTCACACAATTTTTCGGCCTGAGGCACATCAATTAACTGGGGAAGCCAAGTGGTGTGTCTCACCGAGAGAATTGCAGGTGCAGAGCATGTTTTTAAGTTCCTCTCTAACCAACTGACGCGGTGCTGCCAGAGTCTCGACTCACCTTACAGCACACAACATTCTAAGCATAAAAGACTATTTTTTTTTAGCAGACAACGCATTTTGAATGTTTTTGATGAAGGAGAAAATAAATGAGAACAATTTCTTGCTTTTCCCTCTAAAAGTTGCCATGTTCTCGTTCTTTCTAGTAGGCATGTTTAAGTACTGAAACAAAATCTTTTGCAGTCAAAATTTTGTACGTTCCAACTTTATAAACGCCACGCTAAGTAAATGAAGGACGTCATTTTAATCAGAGATCGAAATGTCATACAATGTCCGCTTGTATAACAATGAATTACACAAAATACATCCCTTGTTTTTAGGTCAAACTTGTTTTGTCAAACGAAATGTTAAGTTCTTTGAAAAATTTTTTGATTTTTCCATCCAAATTTTCTTTTGGAAGTAAAAAGAAATAAGTGCTGGAATAGGGTTCACATGATTTAAGAGCATACTACTTTGCTCATCAGCGAGTAGATCACCAGTAAAGAGGTATTTTGGAAGTTGCACAGCCTTTCGCCCTGAACCAGACCAATTTGCTGGTCGGAAAAGGCGTGGTTTGAAAGCTGCTATTTCATTTCCCTCCTTTTTGTTGTCGTTAAAAGTTGCAAACAGAATTTAGGTAAAACAACCGACAATTTTCTCCTATAATTTGAAGGAAAGTGCTTCAACAACTTAGTGCCGATGCAGGAGGATTTGAAGGCAGTTGAGCTGCAATAATGCTTCCCTTTTTACTGCTGCATAAAAACGATTCGATGGCTGTAAGAATTTATCGGCAAAGATTTTTTGAATTCAACAATTGTTACAAACTTTTGGGAAAGAAGATACCAATGACGCGACCATACTAGAGTAAGTGAAAACGTCTGCAGATCAAAGCATAAACCTGAAGAAAAAAAGTATGCTTTTCTTTTCTACATGAAATACTACGCTAAAATGGTGCCTGGTACTGTACGAGGTCGGTGGTGATCGACTGCATCGTTAATAACACAAGCTTTTGCAGCATGTTTCCCATACTTTTCTATCATTTTTGTCTGTTTTTAAAAATTTTCGAATGAGATGTCAAATACTTAAAATGTACTTAAAAAAAGTGATATCAAACTCGCGGATGGTGTAAAAGGATATCCCCAATCGATGAGTGTTTTAGCCGCCTTTCGAAGGAGGTTGGTCTCGGAGAAGATGAACAAGGATCGCCCACCAACATCACCGCTAGCTCCGCTTCCACTTCCAAGTCCACCACCGCCACTGCTAGTGCTACCGTTGTTGGCGGCACATCCTCCACCACCAACGCTTTCTAACTTGGCATTATCGTGGCCAGATGACCCGTCGTTTGTAGTCTGCAGATCCCCCATCGCTGACGGAAAGAAGTTAAATTTCCGTTTTTCTGCAGGTGCTTCACACACTGCGCGATGGTGGCTGGTTTCCTGAAACCTCTGGATGGTCTTGAGAGCCACTTCCGCAGCTCTTTCAGACTCAATGGAGTGAGTCTTATCCATCAGGGGGTTATCGGATCCATCATTTCGTTGCAGTATGACATCGTGAAGAGAAGATGCAGTGGAAGAATACTGTTGCCTGCGGCGAGGAGACGGAGGAGGAGGAGGAGGAGGAAGAAGAAGAGGAGGAGGAGGAGGAGACGGAAGACCCAAAATTGCCAACCGTGAGAGCGCGAGTCAATCAGCTGTTCAGGAGCACTTCCAATTGCTGATTGGTTGATGTGGAGAACTTATATAAGCGGACAAGCGGGCGAATAGGATAGTTACGTGTAGGAAGCAAACGGTGATATCGCATTTTCTTCCATTGTGCTGCCCTTTTTTTTCTGAATATTCTTCCAAACTTTTTCTCCTCAAAAGGCTTTTCGAAAAAATACATCTACTTACTGCTTATAAGAAAGTCTGGCAACACGAAGAGAGAACCTCAATTTCACTATTGCTTTCTCAGATTGATGAGCGGTCTTGACAATAGTGTATTTAAGAAAGGGTTATTCTGGACATAATTTTTCCAAGACATATTGACTTTATGGCTTTTAGTGGCCATCAAAGTATGAAAAATTTATTAGACGCCGGAATCTCTTGTTTGGTGGCTCAGTACTACCATAACAACGAAGCAAAATCATTGTTTCCTCAGTTAATTTCTATCCTGGGTGAATGGTTGGTTCACGACAATTTGCTCGTTTGTGCATTTTATAAGAGGCCTCAACCCCCATCCAAGAGCTGGAAAATTTTACTTAATTAAGGCTCATTTTTATATTTTCCCGTCCACATTCACCTTTACAACTTGAAGTGGATGTTGGCCTTAAGCGGAACTGAAACCACATTTTGAGCAGTGAAATTCTTTTCAGTGAGTTCTCCCACCTCTCCCATTAAACTCAATCGAATTTTGAGGACAAATGCTTCGACCTTGGAAGGGGGGAAGGGAGAAAATGACAGAGAGAGAGGCAGAGCAAGAGACAGTGTTATATCGTGTATACATGCCTTCTTCTGAGCACACTTTTGCAGCACCTTGCTAAAAAGGAAACATAACTTGCTAGACCAGAAGCAAAAAGGCAGTTGGAGGAAGTTTCAAAAGTGGAGATTAGGACAAATGAGCAAAATGAAGGGAAGAAAATATGAAGCCCATTTTTAATGGTGTCCCAATGCTCTAACACTGAGCATTATTTTGATTTGCCGAGATTTTAAAATGGCTCCATCTACGGCACTAAAAGTAAAAACTTAAAATATTGTCAAATTTGAAGCACACTTTCCGTTATCTTCCACATTCCCATATTGAGTAATGCAAAACGAAGAAGAGAAGTAAGCTGAAATTTTTTTATCTCTTATAATTTGTACCATTATGTACGGCAACGAATAAAACTTTTCGGTTAATTTAGTGAAGTACAATGAAAACATTTCAAGCATTGATAAAGTTAGGCAATGAGGCTGTGAAAATCTATTTTTCGCTAGGATTTTAAATGAAGGTGGATTGCATTTGGTGTCGATTAAGTAAACTTTAAAAAACTGCGCAGAAATATGCAGATAAGCTGTTTGCGTAGGCACGCCGAGACTAAGCGACAAAAATCATGGCACTGAACAAGAGTGGTTAGAGCCTGTGTACAATCAAGTATGTTTCCGATGGGCGTCACCTGTAAAATGGTCGTCTACTCCAAATAAAAGGAAAACGTTTTGGAATAAAGCCCACATAAAAGAAAACAACGTTCCCCGTGTTTGCACTCCTTCCTTATTCCCGTCTAAAACCACTGCTTGATATTGAGAAGGCGCTTTAAAACAATAAATACACTTTAAGCCATTTGCAAAACTCTGTAGAACTTTAATTATTGCGATGCGGGCGCTGCTAATTGATTAATATTTAGGTAATGAACCAAACGCCAATAAATCATGGAATAACTAGTACGATGGCCTGATGAAGTTCATCCAGATGATCTCACGATGCTCGGTTGGCTAAATTAACAAATTTAAATTCGGCATACACTGACTTAGCCTCCCTCTGGCTGTCGCCTTAGTTTCTCCCATCGCATTCCTCAGGAGGCCTTTCGAATATGTGGAAAATTTCGTACACATTTCTGTAATGCTTTGTTTGTGTGGCCACCTGATGTTTAGCAATTGCTTTGGTCTTCGTATTACCCTTACATCCTGGAATGGTCTTCGGACTAAGCCAAGGCCGTAGCTCTCAAACTCCCTTAGATACATGCAGTCTGCTGATAGCAATGCCTTCTTTTACTTACTGGGAAGTCTTGAGATACTACAATTGTAAGTGATAATTCAGGAACAACAGGGTAGGTGGTGCCTAAGGCGGCCCTGGAGCAGAGACCATTTGCCACTTTAACACAGCGTTGCATTTAACGTTCACTTCCTTACCTATAAGGCGAGTTATAACTTTGTAGACAGTAACCTTTTAACACTTTGCGATCTGATTTTTTAGATCAAATTACAATAAAGTTATATATAACGTATAAACAAGCTTGTTTAAGGAAGTTACCAAACTATAACCTTTTACGGCTAAATAATAACAGCCATATCAGTGACCGTAACTATTTTTTTAGTGTTATTTATTTTATCGTATTTACCTTAGCTCAATGGTGTTGTTTAAGTTAACAAACTGTGATGAAGTGAGCCTCCCTAATAGAGGCTGCTCTTTTAAAGCGCAGCTTGCTAGTTCCTCTGGTTGCGGTGATGGCTCAATTGTAAGACCGCTTCTCAGCTGGAGGCTTGTGACTTTTTTAATTATTTACCGGTCTAGAAAAAGATGCCATGCTTCAAACGCATCTCTGTAAGTACTTGGAAAGAAAGATTGAATGACTGATTTGCTAATGGCACAGCATATCTAATTTGATATTTTACATTCTTTACTAAGGCGGCACGTGTTTTTGGCGGCGGACAATGTTTCTAGTCATAAGAAGGCACAATCGTGGATTACAACTCTGGCGCTTGTGTGGAATCATTCTCATACAGATTGGTTATGATTATAGAAGCCTCTTCATTTTAAAATTGCCAATATCTTTGCTTGTAATAAGTGCTTTTGTCATTTTTGTTGCTTTGGGTTGGAATATTAATGTCATTAATTAGTATCCAGTGCTTGAATCGACCCGCAGCATGTTTCAGTTTTCCATCTCATTCTCTAGCATGCTACATTTAGGTGTTAATAGTTGTTATTGCTGAAAATTTACATACGTGTGGAGAGCATTGTCAATCGATATGGTATTAACAACGCCCTGAACAGTTAAGTTAAAGAATCCGTCTTGGCTTCCTTATTTATGCCAAAGTAGGTTACATTATGCGGAGAGTCGTAAGGAGTCACTAATAATTTGTAACTCGCTCTTGAAGTTTGCATGTCGTCTGCTTTCAAAGACCCAGTTGGCCATGGTCAATAACTATCGCGGGCTCGAGATTTGCAGTTACTTTGGAGATTTTTTCAGAGTTTGATGCCAGTACATTGTTGACTCTTCGAATTTAACGTTGTTACAGATCTATTCATCAAAGAAACAATGGCCTTAAAATAATTTTTTACCTCACAAATCCACAACTTCTAGGTTAGTACAATATTTAACTTTGCCAGTTGCTGCATAAAATAAGCTGTAAATTGGTTGAGCTTCGAATATTTATGCATCGGGTAGTTGAAGGCGCATTAAACTATCTAGCATGGGCGTCATATTGCTATTTTTAATCAAATGATACCCTTACTTTCTATGCTCAGCATACATAACTCCTTGATCTTCAATGCCTTGGAAGAGGAGAACTTCCCCGTATGCGTGTATTGCAAATAAATCCGGCCGATTGATAATTTGGCACCGTGAAATGCTTACATTGTAAGGTTCCATGATTTCTTTTAAAATATCAGAGTCGAAACATCAGACTGAATGCATACGTTCAGATGGCGAAGTGATGGCACTATAGGCTCTGCTTTAGGGTCAATCTACCTATCAGGAGCAATATGTCCGTCACCAATATAGGAGATCAAATAACCAAAACATCGCCTGCAATGTTATTGATTCAAAGTAGACACATTAGGTAAAAATGTTTTGTTTAGCTACTTATCACGGGTTTCTGCCATTGTACTCTCGCACATCGATACGCCTCCTCTGTTGGTTAGACACAGTATCTGTGCTCTACAAATAAATAAAACAGGTAAAACTAAACAGTGCTACATTGGCTGTTTGGTTAAGTTAGCTTTGGTAAAAACTAATTTGGGGCTTCGTCAAAGGAGTCTCAACCTCAACTGGATGTTAAAAAGGTGTCCACTGATCGTGTCCCCATTTATCACCAAAGCTGTGCAGGAAGAAAATAATACTCAACCTAAGAAGTGTCTGTCCCAATTTCTGCTTGTAAGATATGAGTTATAAAAGAAGGAAGAAGTGAATTCTCCTACAAATGGAGTTCTTGATGTCAACATTCCACAGCATGTCTAGAAAATGGGAAGTCCGCCCTTAGGTAATATCTTGTTTTGTAGCAAGCAAGAAATCCACCAAAAATGGAAATGACGCTGTCTATTAAAGCATTTTATGTTGCAAAAACGTGTTAGTTTCCTCATTTTTCATGCTCCCGGACACCAGCACTGACGTGGAAGCAGCTTGGCAAGGAGGATGAAAACTAAAACATTCTCTTCATTGCACTATTGCTCAATCGTCCCTATTATTTGTTCCAATTTCGAATTAATGTTTATCATATCGAGCCTAGAACCGTCATCATGGCGAATTAGCTGGAACATACAATGGATCAAAAGTGTTCACAATTCTTTGTTTGTTTGACTGTCGATGGTATATTACAGGACGACTGCTCCGGTCTGGTTGGCTGCCTTCCACGACAAGCCAAAGGCATGGCTACCTTCTCTTTTCAAAGTTTACGCCTTAAGCTCAAGTACTGCTCCTCTCACCTGTAAATAAGTCCTAGGATGTTGCATTGTTCGCCACGAAAAGTAAACCAGACCCTAAAATGTCTTCTATCCTGCTTCTCGCTCTTTCTGGCAAACTATCCACGCAATCGAAGTACATGTGCATGATTCCACAACGGAAAAGCTGAGGATTAAGCCTACTATCGATACCAGCCCCATTCTTGTGTTCTGTAGGAAACTTATTATCTGCAGAAGCGTTACCTTTCATGGATCAGTGTGTTCTCTGGAGAAGCTATAGTGCGAATCGGACAAATTCATTAAGCCGGTGCTCCAGCATCGAGTCAGAGGAGCACTAGGTAGTCTGTAGTATTAACTCCATTTCTGAATCCCATTTAAAACCAGGATGTAGCTCTATTTTTAGTTGAAACCACTGACAGCGATCTATGACGTTTAGAATAACTACCTCTCCTCTGTCACACAGAGATTGGTTAGGATAGAGAGCGGATTGAAGGAGTTTTCCACAGCACTAATTCCGCCGTCGTGGAAGGCTTATTGGCCTGAACGTAGGTGACTGCGCATACAGGGGAAGGGATGCTTTGCAACATCCTGCTCGTTTAGCAGACAATAAAAAATTATGGCCACGTAAGTGTCAGCATTGCCTAAGTCGGACATGCTGACTTTCAGACTATACCGAGAGTCTCGATCACCATCTCCTTTGCCAAATGTATGTACTTTACTCAACTGCTATGTCTTCTCCTGTGAGAAATAAAATCTCTGGACTCTGACCTACCTTAAAAAAATTACCTTAGCATTTGTACTGATTTGCGCTTAGTGCAAGAGAAGGTCGAAGGAGTTTAGTAAAAGGAGGGAGGGGCTGCGCAAGAACTTACTGCTTGTTTGAATATTGTCCATATTGCCAACGTCTGAAGAAGTAGCCTCTCCGCCATGTCTGTAAGCAACGCATAAAAAAGGTGCCGACTCTATAGTGATCTTGCGCTAGACTGCATGGACCAGCCTTATGGTTAGGCCAAAGACCAATTACTTCGCATTCTCCCTAAATATAAGTGAGAAATCTCAGGATGCTATGCTGGACGCAGCGGAATTGTGAACCCAAATTTGTGAATGGTGTCCATCCTGGTATTCATTATTTATGCCATATATGTATACATCCAAAAAAATATGCATGTACTTTCGATGAGGAATTTTATGACTTCTTCACAATAGAAAGGCTAGAAATGGTGCCTGCATTTGGCTACGTCCACCCCTGTGTGTCCCACAAACAAGCTGTTATCAAGTGAGGCAACATTTCCGTGAACCAGTTTGGTATCAGAGTTTCCTTTACCGCATCCGCGCGTATTTGCCAAAGATGGCACTACACAGAGTCCCATTCTGCGCAGAATCGTGTTTAATCTCGTTTTCCTCACTAAGCAATTGTGTACCAATGTCTAGTTCAAAACATGATGGATTATCAATAAGAACTCGTTCCCATTCTTCATGCTCTCATACCGGATCCAACCCCAAGATCAGTTGAAGCTGTTGAGAACACCAAGTACAACCCCTTAGTTTCATGGTAGCTGATGCTTCGTGGCTCGCAGGTGCTCCCCTGCACTATCAATATGCTGTGGTGGCTAGCTAGGGAGATATACCGAGTGTCGCCGAAGCAATGCACTGCCTTGATTAAGCTTTGGTTGATGCCTTGCACTTGTACGGGTGGCTGGTCTTCGAAGAAAAGTCAAAGCTTAATCTATTTTTCTCCAAAATATATGCATTCAACCCAACTTAATGTTTCCTTCAATTTAGTGCAAAGCCTCGAGGCACTACAATTTGCTGTCAGCGCAAATTAAAAGCTTCTTCTATCAAAAGGATGCCATTGTCATGCATTAATTTTGTTGTTTTATGTAATGCTTTGTTCAGGTGACTACCTGACATTCGGCAGCCACTTATGAATTTGTCTGGCCCTTGTACTCGTGGGTTGGTCTTCGGGTCACGCTCAGGTCCAGTTGCTTTGTCCTCTTTGGATTACATGTATCCACCTTCACTTACTACCTTTTTCCACCCTGTGAGAAGTCTTGGAGCGCCACATTTTAATCGGCCTTAAAGATCAGAGTGACTGTATAAAGACCAGTTTCGTGATGGATGAAGAGACTGATACTTTTAGAGTCTGGCTTTAGGAATAATCGCCTCCATGCTCCAATGCCGTTGATTCCGTTCCCTCACGATGTCAAAAAAGAGGCGAGTAAGCAAATAATCCCTGAGGAAACGTCAAAGAAGGATTGGTCGACGACGAAATTGAAGATACAGCTACTATCTCTTTGTTTCCACTCGCCAAAAGTGTATTCCGTTAATAATTCATAGTCACAGAGTAAACGCTTAAGAATTTGTACTAATGTGAAGGATACAAATAATTTAATATTAAGAGCCTGACAACTAATTACAACCTTTGAGAACATTAGTTGAAGATGCAAGGAGTGGAACGCTACCAAACTACCTCATAAATGTTTTACAATCACCCTTCAAGCTAATATTGCATCTGCCAATTTGCTATTCAAAAGTTAAATGCTGTTAACTATGACAGCGCAATGTGCTCAAATCGCAAACAATTAAGTACAGATAATTTGCAAAGCTTCTTCCTCATTATGCTATTCGTGTTATAACTGCTTAAGGACTTGGCGGCTCCTCTAAGGGGGTGTGTTGACTTCTTTTCTCTGAAAGGGATGACTTCATTCTTCTCTGACATCGGTGCCTTAAAATTTTTAACCTTTATTTTGTTTCAGAGGATCAGTTTTCTGAGTACACGTGGCCACGACTTATATACAGTGCAGTACGTGTTCCCGCTTACCATCTTTACTTTGAAATTTGTTTAATAATTGGGATTATTTGGCTTCTCTTCAAACGAAGCTACAATATCCATGACAAAGCCAAGCTTTCTGCAGCAGAGAAGGAAGATTTGATAAGAGAATGGATACCTGAGCCCTTGGTACCTACCTCTTGGGTTCCATCAAAGAAACTCCTCGAACGTTTTCACCGAGCTTCGGTCGGCTCCATCGGAAAGTATGTGCATAATTATCTTTTCCCACTTTGATAGGGTTTTCGCATCAATTCAGCCTTTGTTTTAATTATAGATATGTTAGATTTGAAGGTAAAGGAGGCGAAGTGACACCTTCCCATCTTAACGTTGCAAGTCTTAATTTTCTCGACTTTATTGGAGATGATAAACTCAATAAAGTCGCCATTAAAGCCTTAAGAACTTATGGCCTTGGCGCTTGTGGCCCTCGTGGATTTTATGGCACTTTCGATGCCCACCTCACGTTGGAGAAGGCCATTGAGTCCTTTCTTGGTGTTGAAGAGGTTGCCCTCTATTCCTACGCTTTCTCCACTATCGCTAGTGCAATTCCAGCCTATGCCAAACGCACAGATGTTATCTTTGCTGATGAGGGCGTTGGGCAGGCTGTTAGAGAAGGTCTTCGGGCATCTCGTAGTACTGTCCGCTACTTTCGACACAACGATATCAACCATCTTGAAGAACTAATGGTAGCTCAAGAAGCTGAAGATTCTGATAATCCCTATCGAGCTTCGCAGATTCGACGCTTTCTGGTTGTGGAGGGTCTCTATCTCGATTACGGGGATATTTGCCCGCTGCCCCATCTGGTTGATTTGAAGTACAAGTACAAAGTTCGAATAATTTTGGATGAATCCATCTCCTTCGGTGTCCTTGGAAAGACTGGGCGTGGCGTGACTGAACATTTTGGAATCAATGTGGAGCATGTGGATCTCATAACAAGTCGGTACTTTTTCCACTTTTGCAGAAGTTAGAGCGAGGTGTCTGCTTTTACTCATTAGTAGGGATGAGGCGGGATTTCCTATCCTCAACAACTTTTTTTCTTTATCTGGACATACAGTGAGCTTCTTTACCTATTCAACCACGTTGGCGGTATAGCTCCTTTCACGTCTCTTTCCTGATTAACCCTGAGAAACCGTTTCTTTTTTGCGTGTGTCTGTGTATTTAAATTGATTTGATTGCAAATATGGTTGTGGCTTTTTTGCGATCTACAGTCACAAAACTCGTAAATATAAATGAAATCTATGATGAGGTAATGAATTATGCTCTCGCATAGTGGAGCTGATGCGGGACTTTGCTCTCTCACGAATGAAGTGTGAGTACACATAGACACACACTTAATAAACGCCTTTAATTGCCACATTTATGTGATTCCGTCACACTTTCTGCTCCGTTTGCGTCGCCTAGTTTTCACCCGAGCGTCGCGCAGCCCATAATCGTCTCCATATTTACACTACCTCCAGATGTTACCAAAGAGGATTAATCGTGGGCTGTATCTAGCAAGCCGCTCAAGTAACCATCCTACCTAAAGCTCACCCCCTCTACTTCGGTTGAACATGTATGCGAACACATTCTCCTCGAGCAATGTAACCAAAAGCAATTGCTTTTCGGGCTTTCTTCCCTAAGATTAGTGCTTATTTTGTGCAAAGAGTTGCGAACCGCCTTTTCTTACACCTTCTAGCTACTACCCCGTGCATCGCCGAAATTGTTCTTCTTTCTCGGTAGTGTTATTGGGTGCTTCATTCACCTCCAAACAGGTTTCTTCCTCCTTGGTTTGGTTTAGTGGTCTTAGCACTTTTGAAAAATATAAGTAATAGCCAAATGAATGTGTCGAGCAGTGGACGGGTTTCGGTTGAAAGTATTGTGCTGGGAAGTGATTCTACCAGGCTGGAAATGCTATGAATTTCATCTTATGTACCATTTCAATAAACTACCTGAGAAATCCTGCTTTTGCCTAACCTTTTGTTTTCATGTGCTAAGTTGAACAATATCTCTATCCATCGTCGCCTATTTGATGCATGATCGTAGAGAGTAGATTATAAAGAGTGGGGCAGAATCCTCATTTTCGGACTCCCTCCCAACAAGCATCTTTTGCACCTCGGTGAGAACATTCTTACTGAAAGACTAGTTCTGATTGTTTCCCAAGATGAGTGTTTTTATACAAGCGCTTAAGTGCTTCGTGTGTAGAGACTGTCTGATGTCCACCCCACGCATTCGAGCCATGTTCTTCCACCAAGCGACGCCTAATGGATGGAATTTTCGGGTAGCCTTCTGCTTCCATCCATCTGCTTCCCATCCTTTTCCACTTTGGTGGATATGATGCTTACACATATGTCAATACCACATAAACTTGCGGCATTATCTTGGCCTTTCCCCAGGGTAAATCCTCGTTGTTTAGTGACTTTTTCATTGTGCGCGTTAAGATGATCATAGCGAATCTGCTTGTCTTGGCGTCCGATTCGGTTAAGATTGTCCATCGTAAACTATCGTTTCGCTGGACGAATCAAAGTCGATGTGTTGTTCTTGATAATTTTAGAAGGCTTTCTGTGGGAAAGGAACTGAGCTGACCTTGATTCTTTTATATCGTCTGTTTAAAAGAGGTCGTTTTGATGCTAAATGTCGAAATGTGAGGCCTGAGTCTTCTATGGACCTCAATGCACCGCAGTTAGAGGCTATGCAGTTGTATAAAATTATAGCATACTGAAATTGGAAAGTGAAACATCAAGCCTTAATGTATTATCTAATTCTTTGATAGGCTCATTGGAAACGGCAATTGGTGTGTGCGGTGGTTTCTGTGCAGGATCACACTTCGTTGTGGACCACCAACGGTTGTCGGGGCAGGGTTACTGTTTCTCTGCCTCCCTGCCTCCGATGCTTGCAGCTGCAGCGCAGGCTGCTGTGGAGCAGTTGACCTCGGAGGATGGCGTCCGGCAGTCACAATTGCGCCGTCTCTCTCATCGCCTTCAGGCGGCTTTGATGGAGGCTGCACTGGCCCAATTCTGGAGTCTCGAACCTTGTTCTCACCCTGATTCGCCGGTGAAACACATTCGTTTGGCTGTTGGCGCTAATTCCATGGAGAGACTGGAGTACGCCTGTGACCTCGCTTCTACTTTGTCAAGCGTAGATGCATCAGAATCAAGGAAAGAGGAGCTCGGAACCACGCCCGTACTTCTTACAGTGGCGCGGTGAGTGTGGGTGTCATTCCTCAAGACAAGTGTTCTGTATTTGCCTAGTTGGAAAATGATAGGTGCTTTTTTTAGTCAATCCTGACTATACTTTTGCAGCTCGCCCCTTCTTTGATTTGTCTGATTTTGAAAAGCTCTCTGCTTTAGCAAGCCGCAGTTAAATTCCCATATCCCTTCTGGGAAAGTTGGTAAACTTTTTGGCCATAACGAGAAAAGATCAAGCTTTATGGATTTATCCGTAAATTATACATCCAAGTTTTGAAGACGCCTACATCTCCCCAGTAGTCGTAGTAAAGACGTTGCTGAGGACTTTGCCATTCCCTTTTTATAGTCAGGTTATAAAATTTATTTTTTTTTGCTAAGGGGCCAATGTTTAATTGTCAAACTCTTTTTCATTCTCGACTCATTCATTGCCTGAATGATTTTTAACTGAATTCTTGTTGGCCCCACTTATTAGGTGTTTCTTCGCTTACGCCTTTTTTAGTCTCTATGACCCTTTATCTTATTTTTTATGCCTTTTTCGGTGCCTCGTTAGTGTGGTTCCCTGGCTGTAGCTGACTCCTCTCCTTTTATCCGAGTCCTGATGCCAACATTTAAATTTACTTCCCCAATTTCAAGCTCTTCCTTTTGCCACCTCAACAAAAAGATGACAATTTGAAGCGCCTTTTAAGAATATGAATAGAACTCTTGTCGACCTATGTTTCATCTTAAAGTAGGAAATGTCGTTCAATCTATCCTCTTGACGTTTTCTCTTTAAGCAATGGGTGGCTGTTTCGCTGGAATTTTTTCCCCATTCTATTGGTTCTACTCATTCGTAATGCTGCTGAATGGTAACCATAGAAGAGGTGACAGGAAGGGGATTGTGTTGAATTTTCGCATCAGAGAGAACCACACGCATTGGCGGCATGCTCATTCAAATGTCTCTTGCCAAGTTTATTTGTATTTTTGGAAAAAAAATCAAATGGATTACCTGAGGTCTTTGGTCCTTCATTTGGAAGAATGTCATTCAATCATTAACACCTGCTTATCTTGAGGCTTTTCCTCGAAAAGGCGTTAGAGCATTCCTTTTGGTGTTCTTTTACTTCCCAGCTTGAAAGATTTTCTCCGGTAAGACGCAGGATTTCACTTACTCAACATCTGAATGTAAAATCGCAAAATAGGTTTTGTAATGAGTTGAGTATGTATTACAACGAGAAAGGTGCGGTCCTTTTCCGCTGCCTGCCATTTTAGGGGCTGAAATGACTCGTCATTCCAGTCGCAATTGACGCTTGATTTTAAGAATTCGGGTCGCTTCTTCTGCGCAGTCCTTCCCATTCCAGACAAGCACTGCCTCCTGGGGATTAAGTGGAGCTTTCAGTGTGAAGCATGTTGCGTGTATCGTTTTGGGTGCTAACCAATGATGAATAAACAATCAAAAATAAATATCCCTTCCTTCTTACCAGCTAGTTACCAGCTGGACCTGGAAAGTACTGAAGACTAAACCAAATTTCCTTATCGACCTTTCTTCACATTAGAGGGGTCCAGAAACGAAGGAGCTTCTTGATATGGAGATAGGGTATTTCTCAGGATAAATCACAATATAATTAGCTGGGAGTTGGGATGAGTATAGTACGCTCTTAATCTGACAATGAGCACATTTTCTCACATCTCATTTTCTCATCGGTAAACAAAACGAGCTCATCAAATCACACCGTCTGGCTGTGAGCCCTGATTTCTCTTCCAATGGGAAATGGGCGGTTATCCGGGCTCCTTAACCTTGGATCAACGTGGCATTTTGAAAACATTACATTTTTAACGTTATGATCGTATATTACGAATGTCGGACTTAATTGTTCTCAGGGAGGAACCGAATGACCCGCTTCTGTTAAGCCTAAACCCGTGTAATAACACAGTCAGGCCACTTGTTGGTGTGTTGGTGTCGCTGTCCGAACTCAATGTCCTGCAGTCCAATAATGTTTTCCAGAGTTCTTTTTGTCTTGCTTCTGACACAACGGACGAGGAGCATTTTGCGATGATTGTGGGTTAAGGTGGCTGGTCAGTGCTTTGATAGTCGAACCGACGCAATTTTGCGGGAAACTTGAATTTAATCTTCTTTGCACGTTCGCGAATTGAATTAAATCTTTTGCCCTTAACGAGATTACTCTCTTCTGCCGAATTTTTTGATGCTTGGGGCTGAAAAAACTGTTTTGCCTGCCTATCTCCCAACTCATGGAGAGATTCATGCAGCGATAACACACCATTTTACAATCACCAGGAATAACCAAAAAATTTCATGATCCGCACCGGTTTTTTCCTCTTTTTTTCCTACCTCTAGCCACGCAGAGAACACGCTGAGGAAGGTTCCAGAGCCAAGTATTCGACTAGCTCTGAATTGCTCGATGACGACGGCAGAGTTGGATCACGTCTGCAAGATGCTTCAAAAGGTTGGCGAGATCATGGCGGGGTCAGAGTCCACGTCAGAGCAGCATTAATGCCCACTTAAATATCCTTTTTCTACCAATTGACGAAAGTAATTGATATCTTTTTTGGTCGTACTCTGGATTTTCTGGCTCGTCTTTCTCTCTTTGCGTATCTTTTCGAGTTTGTGTATGGGTTGGCTTCTGATTTTTTGTATTATCACTCTATTCTTGCACCAACATCTTGTTCACTCTGAGTTGGTTGCGAAGTAGAACTTGTGAAATTTTCTAACTCCCTTAGAACTCATCTTCCTCCATTTTTACAGAAAAGGTTAAGCTGGTGAAGAAAGAGATCCGCTGCGAATTCAGGGGGAACGGGATTGCGTTTATTTAGCAATTTTAGGGATGCACAAAGGTAGAAACAACTGGTTATTTGATTCTTCTTCAACTAGCTTCTTGAAGATTGTGAAGTTTGTTGCGATTCAACTATTCAGATGCTTCAGTCCTCGCGGGTTTCGCATCTATCTTGGTGACGTAGCCCTCTGACCTCTCGGTTCCCTCTCCTGTGCATGGTAGTTCGGTAGAGGGAGAATTTCATTGTTTGGAGTTCGTTGAGTGGAACCCTCTATCACTTGTAAAAATACTACCCCGGTATGTAACTTGGGCACCCATAAAGGGTTAAAGAGCCCAATGTAGGTTGCTCTCCAGAGTATCAATTTGTTCTGCTCGACGGACTAAAGCTCGCTTACTTCGATGGCTTTGATTTGATTGCCATGATCGCGAGCCCTTCGGGTTAAGGTTGAAAATGAAGCATGTGGTGCACAAGCTACCCTTCGCTGCCAAATTGCATCAATCAGTGACGTCAATAAATGCGCTGTTGCTACGTGAGAAGCGTAGGTGGTTTTAAAGGTGAATACGTAACCTTGCATCTTGTAGATTCATCTCAAAAGAGACTCATACTTGTATTGAACCATTTTTTTCTTAAATATCTCCAGATTATTCATGCTTAACGGCAGAAAAGCTCTGCTAATGACAGCATTTGAAGACGGTTGTCAGGGATTCCAATTGAGGGTACCCACGTATTCGGCTCTTCCAACACAATGGAATGGAAGATTGGAACATTCCATGATCCCAGATCCTCGTCATTTGAGTACTGGTGACGCTAAACTACTAAACTACTACTGCTAAAGTTTCCATCTCTCTGTCGATCTTTCCCGAATGGAAAGCTGATGCCTCCTCTAGATTTGCACAATCACGGCCTCATTTATCTTTGTAACCAAAAAATGGGTGTTTTTTTTTTGCTTCCTAGATGTTTTAAGTAGTCATTTCGAAAGTACATACTTTTCTTGAAAGATCTATCGATTTTCGGTCATTTTAAAACTCGCAGCTGTTTGAACGAATTCACGTTCCTGCTCTCATCCCAGACGAGATGGGCACAAAGTTGAGCAAACTACGTCCGCGGCCCAAAATTCAGGTCATTGAGAGGGTGAAAGTGAACAAGTCCTGTCAGGTACAGGCCACCCTGCCTGAATGCGTGTCGCCCATAAGTGAAAAGGCGGCGGTGGTGGTGGTAGAAACAGTCTCAAGGCTGGTGGAAACCGAATCAACAGAGCTGAAATCACTGTGGGGTAAAGTCGAGGAAAAGAAAGAGTCGAAATCGGTTGAATTTGCAACTCCCATCGACACTATTGTGCCCCGTCACAGACTCCTCATAACTGAGGAAGTTAAGGAGAGTTGTGTTAAACAACTCGACAGCAACAACAACAATTACGATTCCATTGTGGATCCCGTGAATGCTTTCATTGACATGAGAAATGTGAAACAACCACCTTTACGAAAACGATCCTCCAGTACTGCTCTAGAGCGTCGACTTTGGATTCCTGTAGCGTTTGCCCGTGTCTTCTGTAACACTCGTGATCGTCGTCTGGAGTCTATAGCTCGACTGAGCGATTGCAAGATCACTCTGTCGCCTCGAGTAAAGAAGAATGCGATGGGAGATGTGGGTCGTATCGCGACGATAAGAGCAGAGACTAAAAGGAGTCTAGACAGGTGTGTCAATCTGCTTTCGGAAAAATTCCCCGAGTTCCAATTGGAGCCCAGATGAGAAGCTTACCAGGGTGTATGCGATTCAGAGGTTTTTGCAATGCTGGACCATTTTTATAGTCGTTGATTTTAAATACACTGGAACTTATGCAACTTTGCGACTTGTCATCATGCCTATCCAAATAGCACAGTCTCTTGCATGCTGTGCAACAATTCCACGGTCATTTAACAACTGAAACCTGTGCAACTGAAAAAAAAAGGATTGAGCTGGTTGTCAGGTGGATGGTCGGTTGGTGTTAGCTATTCATCCTTTACGCATCATGCAGGTCTCCTTGTCCAATCAGATTGGAGCACAGTGGTGAGTCACACGTACTACCAGCATTAGTACAGGCGTTTTCAAGTGCATGCCAAACAGTGCAGCCCTGACGGCGGTTAGGGGCAGTATGCATACTTTACACATAGGCTACTGCATTTCTTTGTGTCAAGTTGTTCATTTACTCGGAGTACGCTGGACTCCACTCTTAAAGAAGTAACGAAAAGGGGTCACGGAAAGGGTTGAGTTCTGCTATTTGCCAAAAAAGAGTGCATCTACCAGAATAGTTGAGAGGAGCCACTGGAAATGCAGGCCTCTGCAAATCCATACAGACAAGTTTTTACTAGTGCGGTGGAGGAAGCGGATCTTCAGAGTTGAAGTGTTGACGGCTGATAAGACCAAAAAACAGGAGTAGTAAAGGGACTCGGTAGTAATCTGTAATATGCGTGACCTACGATGATTAAAAAGACCAGGAAGAAGGCAAATGGCTTACACGACAGCGCAGACTTGGAATAAGTCATTCGTAAGTGTATTTTTTGTCGCATGAACAACGAACGCTAGAAGTACAAAGGAGTGGGGAGTTGGA